TCCCCATTTTGGGGATAAAGAGACTAATCAGAGACGAAACCATCGCAGAGTGGCAAGACAGATGGTCATACTCTCAGAAAGGAAGACACATGTTTTGGTTAATACCAAGCGTGGAAGAACGAGTCAAAGAACTCAATTGGCTCCCTATGGATCACATCAATTGTCAACTATATACAGGCCACGGGAATTGCTACTCATACTTAAAGAAAATCGGTAAAAGGCAATCAGAAGTATGCGATTGTGGTAGCGGCATTCAAGACATAAGTCATCTATTACTTAACTGTTACAAGTATGATAAAGAAAGGACAGAAATTCTAAGTCTTCATCATTTAAACACTGGAAATAATGACCTACAACTCTATAACCTCATCAGAGATAAGTGCCTCAAACATGACCTCAGGACCTTCGTGAGAAGGACACTTTTGTAAAGGTGATGGAGAAAGTCCTCTTCACCACCTATTGACCGGAAAGCTTCCGGCACATGCTTGTCAAGTTAGACAAGCAGGCTGTACAGTGTTATTTATGTATTTTATAACTTTTTACTCTATGTACTTAATGTCAATTTGTAATAATGTTAATTTTAATAAACGAAACGTCCTCCTTGTGATGTGAAAATGGGACAAGGATGATTCTGATCCCCGAAAGGGGAAATGATGATCATCAAATGAAAAAAAAAATGTACATGTACATCAGTACAGTATTGAAAAGGAAATAGTATAAACATTGTACATAAATATTTTCAGCTAGTTAGTAGGCATGTTTTTCCCATGCTGTTTCCAAGTTCAGAACGAAAACTGACTGATTACAAGTACAGTGGGTGATCGGTTAATGAACATAATCTGATCCAAGACTTTGTTCGTTATCCGAATTGTTAGTTAACTGATTATCAATTTACCATAGGTTTTTATGGGAATTTGATTAATTCATTCCAGAGACTCCAAAAAATGAAAAATATACACTTTACTACGTTTATTTATATGTAATAGTAAAAAACATATATATGCAGTCTTGCATTTTTATTAGTCATGTTTTTTCCATTTGTGGGGGTTAAAGATTCTGTCCAATGTCGATTGCTTTTCTCTTTTCTTCAAGATTTTATGGAAGTAATTAATAGTATTGTAATTGCAGAGATCCCCAACCCCTTTAACCTTATTCTGGTTTGGATGCCACTTAGATGATAATTGTTCTGACATCCTCCCATTTCTTCAAAAGATTTTTAGTAGCAGATGTTGACATTGGTCCTCCTTTGTCTTCCTCTTTTTCACAAGAAAACACATCTTGCTGAGTTCTTGGTATTCTTCATTTGAGAGTTCTTCTGTCATCAAATCAGTTTCAGGTTCCATTATGAGCTCTAAAATGCTCTTTATTTCTTAGATCTGATTTTAATTACTCCATTAGCAGCTTGAGACTTCTTGATATATCTTTCATAGCTAAGATTGTGCCTACTGTAGACCTGTTCAAGCCGTACTGCCTAGAAACATCAGACATCTTGTGCCCACTTTCTACCTTTGCTATTATCTTTTACTTGGTTTCTATGGTGAGCACAGTTCTTGACACTCCTCTTTTTAGGCTCCATAATATTATCAGTTTCTTTTTTAAATAAAAAGTTCAGAAAAACACTTACAAAAATTCAGAGAATAGAAATCAATTAGCCCACAAAAAATTATTTAGAAGCAAGGCCTGGATGAAATTCAAAATTCGGTATTAAAACGTTAACGAATATCTGATGGAACAGTTAAACTTTCACCTTTTGTAAATAAACCCTGATGCAAAACTTAACAAGTGCCTGTCCGACAGTCTCACGAATATTATAAAAAGTTATTTCTCAGAAAGGTAAAGAAAAAGCTGGAATTACAAGGTTTCAAAATTTGGAGGAATATTATTGTGAGACAAGCAGAGGGCCAGGGGTTAATCCCTCCTGACCACTTACACTGCACAGATTGGTAAAACCAAGTCTTGGAGTCATCAGATGGCTAGGAGGGCAAAATTGAGTGGAGAGTGCATCAGTAAGCCGGGAGGCATCCTTTCAATGACAGGAGACAGGTTTAACAAATAAACAAAGCATTTATTGAATAACTCATCTAAGTTACAGGAGGCGATAATAAAACTAAGGTTAAATGGGGTTATGCTATACCAGGGGTCGGCAGTTTGTCAAGTGAGAAGAGCCAAATTGTCATGGAAACAGTATAACAAAAGTACCAGAGAGCCGCATATATAACGCCTACTAGGGGGCGTCTCCCTGGTGCGCGTTACAGGCATTCCATGACAATAATAAACTCCTATTACAAATATACTAAATTATTTATATTGTTTTTGGCCAAATGAATAATAATAATTTATACTGTTAATTTAAATGTGCAAAATACGACACACGACAGGGGTGCCTCTAGTGGCCGATTTTGGCATAACGTTACACGGATGGACACGCATTCAATGGGTTATGTATATATAGATATGCTTCAAATGTTGCCACTCGCATGCGACTCATGTTGATCAACACAAGTGTGGTCATGTGTGAACAGACTAAAGAGTGGTAGAGAGTACGCCGTACGAGTTGAAGTTTGTTCGGCAGCTCTATCTCATAAATTCATAAGTTATAAGGCTGCGGTGAAATGAGGCGAGGTAAAATTGGAGTTTATGTTCGAAGAGCCACAAACGTCTATGCAAAGAGCTGCATGCAGTTTGCGAGCCGCTAATTCCGACCCCTGTGCTATACTATTTACATAAAATGGGCGACTAATCTCATCTAGGTTGCTTGACTAACTTTAGGGCGAGAGAGAGAGAGTGATTTTACAAGTTCTAAATCCCCTAAATACCTCTCAGAGTAATAGCGAGTTAGTGCATCTTCTGTATGGAAGAGGTAGTAGTCCTTGGTGTCTTCTGTCCGGTGTCTTCTCCGACGGGATCCAATTTCTTTGCACGGAGATTGACTGGCACAAGTACAGAAATCACTTCTGTGTGTGGATGTGCGCTGAGCTACCAAGGCTCGAGCTTTTATTCAGTTGTCATGGGAAAGGAGTCACATGATCATCACATATTGACAATAACAGTGCATTCTTGACACCTATGTGTCAACTTTCCCATCTAATTGTTATAACAAAGTGTGACCTCTGATCTAATTCTCGCCAGGAGTGTTTTTCTATCGGAGTTGTTTACATTTTTTTCGATAGCTGCGTTAAATTCACGGATTTCACACCATACTACTGATCAGTATTGGGTTGAGCGTCGATGTTGACATCTCCTGTGCTCCAAAAGATTTTGAATTGTTACCTGAAGACAAGGGAAAATCAATTGGTATTCATTATTTTCTGTTGCTTCTTTTTATGTTTGTTCAGTAAAATGTTTGTTGTCCGATCATAAAAAGCTTTCATGAAAGTATTCGTTATCTGATTTGTTTGCAATCCTAACTGATCACCCACTGTATAGATTATAATTAAATCTTTGTTCTATAGCCAATCCACATCTGTGGAATCCAAGTCATGTGGACTACTACAAAAAGACCCAGAGGGATTTCAACACTAACACAATTAAGAGAGCTTTTAGCTTCTGACCATGGAATCAACATCACTTGTAATTAATTCGAACCATGAATTTAATAACTGGCCTGGTGGCAACACTAGTGACTAATCTCCTATGTTGCAGCACTTTTACGCAAGCAAACGTTGTGTAGTTTGTGGCTGCTTCGTGCCCATGTAGTTTACCAAGCAAAAATGGCTTGTAGCCTCATGAGAAAAAAGGCAGCGCTTTGCGAGAGTGTGACTGAGCGTACACTAGCTCTTGCTTCCTGTAGTTTGCGGCGGCTCTTACAGTTCAGTTCACTTAACAGAGTTTGTTTCTGACCAGATTCTTTATTTATCCCATATTGATCACCTTTTTAATAACATTATGAATTGCACCAATAGATCTTTTCAGAGTGTTGCAATCTGTCTATAAGATTTTCCTTGTCTATAGTACGAAAAGATTTTTCTCACTTTTTGCTCAGTTCTTTTCTTCATGGAGTTTGTAAAAACTTAAGTCAGAATGATACAATTATTATGGGAAGCAGGTAAATGATGTGCATTTCAATACATATTGTTTATGAAGTACATTTAATTATATGATGTAATACACACACTGTATGAATAATTATTTTACAGTGAATTTGGTTGTAATTTTTATATTAATTCAATCACTCAGAAATTTGAATATTTTTTACTTATGAATATGATATATTTGTATGTAGTTATTTATAATAATGAGCTAATTAATTGTTAAATTGGTATAAATAAACATTGAGTAAAGTTATAACCAAATTTCAAGTATGTGTATAATTTCTTTACAGAACTTAGTTTGAGTCACTATTTTATTTCAACCATGTATTAGCTCTTCTTTAACTTATACTGTAGTAGTACTGTTAATGGCAAATACCAAGTAAAGAGTTTCAAGGAAAAAAACTTGTACAAAAGCTGATAAATTGTTAAAAGAATAACAGAATTAGCCTAGTATCTTCTCTTGCCAATATGTCAGGGCCCATAAGGAATAAAGAGTTTTCAGTCTCAATGAGCTCTTCACACTTACAGAAAAAAACCGAAAACTTGTTATTCGTTATGGGCCCTGACGTATTGGCAAGAGAAAATACTAGGCTAGTTCCAATACAGGAGCGTCTAATTGCCAATCTGGAGAGACGCTACAATAACAACAGAAAAAATAAAGCTGGTGTAGTCAGAAGAAAACAGTACGTTTTCACTTGCTTACTACTATTTAATTGTAAAAATTAAAATTCAATAAAAGATGCAAATTTTAACATAAAAAATGTAATGTATCACAAATTACTTAAAATTCTAAGAAGAAAAAAAACAAACAGATAGCAATTGCAACTGTCCAATAAGGGCAAGGTATTAGCAGCATATTTAAGTAAATGAAAACAGTATTTCAGCTTAAAAGCTCAGAATCTCAGAATACAAATAGTTGTTTCTAAATATTTTTATTTTGAAAAAAAAAAAAAATCAATTTTGACTGACCTGAATGAGGACCAGAAAAATCTCCTTGTACACAAACTCCATTAGTTGGATTAAGTGTATTTCCACACCAGCCACATGATAAATCTTTTAAACAGGATTTGCAGTCTGCATGTCGACTACAATCTCTACATTGTGCACCAGGTGTGGTGACACCACTATGAATGTTAAAAATCAATACTTTTAACATATTGAAAAGAACACTACTTATAGTTAAGAATTAAATATATATTTACATAATTTACTTTTATTACCTAGGTGCACTGCGATCCTCGTCAACCCATTCCCGACAACGACCAAACATAAAAGATGTTGTATATGTGGCAAACAGAAAACAGCTGCGAGTTTCTTCACACCATGCACAGCGGCCTGGATCTCCAAGACACGAAGTGCAATTAAAACGCCTAACATAAAAAAATTAAACATAATCTTTAAACCAAAACAGACATTTCAAAATATGCTAAATAAAATAACTTACAAATGACAGGGAGTGGGACAAAGATCTTGATGTCTGACGGCATCTTCAAATCTACCTCTACGACCACAGTGAGCTTCTTCAATCAGCCATTCACAATGATCGACCTATAAAAAATTTAAGCTAATAGTAAATAGTAAAGAAAATATTAACCTATTGAAAACATGGCAAGCAATCTTAGGTTACTTCCAACGGTAAAAAACTTTAACACATTGTAAATTTCCTGACCTCAATCACTAGTCATTAATTAATAGGTGTATTACAACTTTTTAAAAAAAATGTTCTAGTCTATTTCCAATCATATTATGGAAAGTCATGTGCATATTTAAAAAATTTATTATATCATATTTCATTGTTATGTAAGTCACATTTATGTTTTGAATTTGAACATTGCCATGTGGTGCATAGAATGCTCTGTTTTTTAAAAACTGCTCAAATAATATTTGATTTATGGGTGTATTAATCCAGTAAAGATCTCTGAAGTGATCAAAAACGTTTATTTGGTTGTTTTTTACATTAAATCTATCTGTTAGAACCATTAGGTGTCTTTAAATAGGTTCATTTTGAATAAAGGGTGAGAGTTTTTCACCCTTTTAAGAAAACAAACTCCCCAAAAGATATTAAAAATAATCAAACAAAATGTAATGATTGCAGAAAATAAAATAATATTTGGGTTCAATTCCTCTCACTGTTATTCATAATTACACAAACAAGACTGAGTGAAATAAAGACAATGTTAATCAAGTAATGACAAAACACAATACAATGCTAACAAATAAACAAGACAAATGAAAAATTGTTAGATAAACAAGCATGACTTTATATGATGTAATATCATATGTAAATATGTAATATTAGTAATGTACAAATAGTAACCATTCATCACATTGTTTTCATATAAGAATTTGAAGATTTTAAATATCAAATATTTCTTTCATTTCCTCAAACTGCATCACAATGAAATTAGAATAACTAATAAATAATCATTATTTTTTAGTACTGCATATATTCTCTAAATGGATAAATATACTTAATTTGATATGTTAAAATTTTAAAAATATATATATAAAGCCTTACTTATGAAAATAAAATGTCTTCTTTTTATTCTGCTTGCACTTAAAGTATTAAGGTATGTTTGAAAATACTGTAGTATATGATAGTAACGATGAGCAATGTCATTAGTAATAACAGACATCAATACATTTTTTAGCACGAGATTAAATTTTCAGATAAACTTAACCTAGCAAATTATCAGGAAGATGACAATTACAATAAATTAATTAGTATATATCAGCATTATCCTAAATTTCCTCAAAGCTCAAATATAATTTTACACTTTCAGAAAATGTCTCACTTAAAATTATAACCCTTGCTCACTAGCTTTCCAGAGTGGTGAGGCAGATTGCAAGCAAAGTACTGCCAAAAACTTAAACCATAACATTTTTTAATGATGTATGGTCTAACTGATCTTACTGGTTAGCATTTCCAAACAAGCCCTTAGAGAATTATTTTTTCAATGTCCATCATACATTCAGCCAGTTCCACTAACACATAGCTGCTGGATAATGAGGAACAAAGTATAATATGGTCAAACTATCTACAAAAATTTCAATCAACTCAGACTCAAATCTAGGTAACACTTAAAGAAACAGACTAGTCTCTTTAAAATCCTAGTCATCTGGTATTCTTATTTCATGTGATAGTACAATTTTATTTTTAATACTATTTTAATGTATGAGTAAGTCTGAATCAGGGCTGTGGAGTCATGTAAAAATCTACCGACTCCGACTCTTCCTTACCACCCGACTCCGACTCGGGGCAGACATGTTACTGAAAGAGACCTGGAAATTCTGATGTCATTACGTGATCTCAGAATAAATGATTCAATAAATAGAGTTCTAATAAAGATAGAATGTAGAAACTTTTTATTCCAAAGCTAAAAAACTCCTCTAAGTAATATATAAATATGTATTCAATAATTTTTACTTTTCCGGCTGTTATATATAACAGAGGGAAAGCATAGCGCTCGGTCAAAAAATGACCCCTCCCAAATTTTTACATGTTTGAACTCAGGACACCTTGAAATTTTGAGATATGCAAAAGATTTGAGGTTTTTTTCTATATGTGTGGATGTCAGACTGTGTGTGGGGGGCATGATTTTGTTCACTCTGTTTGAAGTCTAATAATTTCTGTGGTCAGAGTGGTTGGAATTGGAGTCAGATGGTTTAACACAGGAGTTAGTTATTAAACGTCAAAGTGGTTGAACTAAATCATGTCCCCATATATATTCTAACATTTTAGGCGAGAACATCTTAACGGGTTTTACTGTACTATTATAAAATGACAAAAAAGCTTACTTTGAGGGTAGAGATGGGTTTTATTATTATTTTTTTAATAGTATTAATGCTCCTTTATATGCAAGCCACAGTGCCACATTTTGTTTCTTAAACTTAACCCATTCTGAGATATTGTTTAATATCTCAGAACAGAAAATAAAGAAATTAAACAAATTAGACGCCAACACACACATGCACGCAAATTTTTCCCCTTTTATTGACTTTTTTGAGAGGTTCAGGCAGTCTCCAAATATGTAGATTTGCAAAAAAAATTTGGAGGGTCAAATTTGGCATGATTCCAATACTTTTCCATATTATATATACATAACAAGTTGGGAAGTAAAAAAAGAGTTGGAGTCAGCGGATTTTTTGACGACTCTGACTGTGACTCCAGCTAAAACACCAAAAATCCACGACTCTGACTCCACAGCCCTGGTCTGAATGCAATGTAACTTAAAGAATTATTTATAAACAATTTAACAACAATTAATATGTCAAATATATTCCAATCTCTATAATAGAAAAATCTGTATTAAAAATAGAATTTTAGAGAATTAAGACTTAAAAAAAAAACTAACAAAAATTTGAAATTGGAAATGCTTTTTTAAAAAGTGCAACTCAGTAAAATAGCTTCAAAATATTTTTCACAATTGTATCCTGCAATAAACATTAGTTTAAACTAGGGCTTCCCAATTGGGTTGATGAGCAAATTAAACACATATTGTAAATGTATACATAATATTTTAATATTGTTTAATTATTTAGTAAATACAATCCTTTAAAAATTCTTGAAAATAGTTTCACTGTAATTTTCAAAACTCTTCAAATATAAAAATAATGTATATATATTTAAAGAGATTGACAGAGGAAAAAAGGTTCTTAAAAGGAGTTGATACACAAAAAAGTTCAAAACTACCAGTAATAATTTTATATACAGTTTCATAATATAATCTAATTAATGATTAACAAATAATGAGTAAAGAACATGCAAGTATAATTTCTCAAACATTATATGTAATAAATTATTTTATTAAAATTAAGATATGTTTTTATATACCTTTGCACAATCTTCACAATATATATAATCTGAACAAACAGGACAATTTTCAGGAATAGTAATGATGTAATTATGCTTGTTATCTCTGTGATAAAATGGATGATGAATATCGATTAATTTCNTAATAGTATTGTAATTGCAGAGATCCCCAACCCCTTTAACCTTATTCTGGTTTGGATGCCACTTAGATGATAATTGTTCTGACATCCTCCCATTTCTTCAAAAGATTTTTAGTAGCAGATGTTGACATTGGTCCTCCTTTGTCTTCCTCTTTTTCACAAGAAAACACATCTTGCTGAGTTCTTGGTATTCTTCATTTGAGAGTTCTTCTGTCATCAAATCAGTTTCAGGTTCCATTATGAGCTCTAAAATGCTCTTTATTTCTTAGATCTGATTTTAATTACTCCATTAGCAGCTTGAGACTTCTTGATATATCTTTCATAGCTAAGATTGTGCCTACTGTAGACCTGTTCAAGCCGTACTGCCTAGAAACATCAGACATCTTGTGCCCACTTTCTACCTTTGCTATTATCTTTTACTTGGTTTCTATGGTGAGCACAGTTCTTGACACTCCTCTTTTTAGGCTCCATAATATTATCAGTTTCTTTTTTAAATAAAAAGTTCAGAAAAACACTTACAAAAATTCAGAGAATAGAAATCAATTAGCCCACAAAAAATTATTTAGAAGCAAAGCCTGGATGAAATTCAAAATTCGGTATTAAAACGTTAACGAATATCTGATGGAACAGTTAAACTTTCACCTTTTGTAAATAAACCCTGATGCAAAACTTAACAAGTGCCTGTCCGACAGTCTCACGAATATTATAAAAAGTTATTTCTCAGAAAGGTAAAGAAAAAGCTGGAATTACAAGGTTTCAAAATTTGGAGGAATATTATTGTGAGACAAGCAGAGGGCCAGGGGTTAATCCCTCCTGACCACTTACACTGCACAGATTGGTAAAACCAAGTCTTGGAGTCATCAGATGGCTAGGAGGGCAAAATTGAGTGGAGAGTGCATCAGTAAGCCGGGAGGCATCCTTTCAATGACAGGAGACAGGTTTAACAAATAAACAAAGCATTTATTGAATAACTCATCTAAGTTACAGGAGGCGATAATAAAACTAAGGTTAAATGGGGTTATGCTATACCAGGGGTCGGCAGTTTGTCAAGTGAGAAGAGCCAAATTGTCATGGAAACAGTATAACAAAAGTACCAGAGAGCCGCATATATAACGCCTACTAGGGGGCGTCTCCCTGGTGCGCGTTACAGGCATTCCATGACAATAATAAACTCCTATTACAAATATACTAAATTATTTATATTGTTTTTGGCCAAATGAATAATAATAATTTATACTGTTAATTTAAATGTGCAAAATACGACACACGACAGGGGTGCCTCTAGTGGCCGATTTTGGCATAACGTTACACGGATGGACACGCATTCAATGGGTTATGTATATATAGATATGCTTCAAATGTTGCCACTCGCATGCGACTCATGTTGATCAACACAAGTGTGGTCATGTGTGAACAGACTAAAGAGTGGTAGAGAGTACGCCGTACGAGTTGAAGTTTGTTCGGCAGCTCTATCTCATAAATTCATAAGTTATAAGGCTGCGGTGAAATGAGGCGAGGTAAAATTGGAGTTTATGTTCGAAGAGCCACAAACGTCTATGCAAAGAGCTGCATGCGGTTTGCGAGCCGCTAATTCCGACCCCTGTGCTATACTATTTACATAAAATGGGCGACTAATCTCATCTAGGTTGCTTGACTAACTTTAGGGCAAGAGAGAGAGAGTGATTTTACAAGTTCTAAATCCCCTAAATACCTCTCAGAGTAATGGCGAGTTAGTGCATCTTCTGTATGGAAGAGGTAGTAGTCCTTGGTGTCTTCTGTCCGGTGTCTTCTCCGACGGGATCCAATTTCTTTGCACGGAGATTGACACAAGTACAGAAATCACTTCTGTGTGTGGATGTGCGCTGAGCTACCAAGGCTCGAGCTTTTATTCAGTTGTCATGGGAAAGGAGTCACATGATCATCACATATTGACAATAACAGTGCATTCTTGACACCTATGTGTCAACTTTCCCATCTAATTGTTATAACAAAGTGTGACCTCTGATCTAATTCTCGCCAGGAGTGTTTTTCTATCGGAGTTGTTTACATTTTTTTCGATAGCTGCGTTAAATTCACGGATTTCACACCATACTACTGATCAGTATTGGGTTGAGCGTCGATGTTGACATCTCCTGTGCTCCAAAAGATTTTGAATTGTTACCTGAAGACAAGGGAAAATCAATTGGTATTCATTATTTTCTGTTGCTTCTTTTTATGTTTGTTCAGTAAAATGTTTGTTGTCCGATCATAAAAAGCTTTCATGAAAGTATTCGTTATCTGATTTGTTTGCAATCCTAACTGATCACCCACTGTATAGATTATAATTAAATCTTTGTTCTATAGCCAATCCACATCTGTGGAATCCAAGTCATGTGGACTACTACAAAAAGACCCAGAGGGATTTCAACACTAACACAATTAAGAGAGCTTTTAGCTTCTGACCATGGAATCAACATCACTTGTAATTAATTCGAACCATGAATTTAATAACTGGCCTGGTGGCAACACTAGTGACTAATCTCCTATGTTGCAGCACTTTTACGCAAGCAAACGTTGTGTAGTTTGTGGCTGCTTCGTGCCCATGTAGTTTACCAAGCAAAAATGGCTTGTAGCCTCATGAGAAAAAAGGCAGCGCTTTGCGAGAGTGTGACTGAGCGTACACTAGCTCTTGCTTCCTGTAGTTTGCGGCGGCTCTTACAGTTCAGTTCACTTAACAGAGTTTGTTTCTGACCAGATTCTTTATTTATCCCATATTGATCACCTTTTTAATAACATTATGAATTGCACCAATAGATCTTTTCAGAGTGTTGCAATCTGTCTATAAGATTTTCCTTGTCTATAGTACGAAAAGATTTTTCTCACTTTTTGCTCAGTTCTTTTCTTCATGGAGTTTGTAAAAACTTAAGTCAGAATGATACAATTATTATGGGAAGCAGGTAAATGATGTGCATTTCAATACATATTGTTTATGAAGTACATTTAATTATATGATGTAATACACACACTGTATGAATAATTATTTTACAGTGAATTTGGTTGTAATTTTTATATTAATTCAATCACTCAGAAATTTGAATATTTTTTACTTATGAATATGATATATTTGTATGTAGTTATTTATAATAATGAGCTAATTAATTGTTAAATTGGTATAAATAAACATTGAGTAAAGTTATAACCAAATTTCAAGTATGTGTATAATTTCTTTACAGAACTTAGTTTGAGTCACTATTTTATTTCAACCATGTATTAGCTCTTCTTTAACTTATACTGTAGTAGTACTGTTAATGGCAAATACCAAGTAAAGAGTTTCAAGGAAAAAAACTTGTACAAAAGCTGATAAATTGTTAAAAGAATAACAGAATTAGCCTAGTATCTTCTCTTGCCAATATGTCAGGGCCCATAAGGAATAAAGAGTTTTCAGTCTCAATGAGCTCTTCACACTTACAGAAAAAAACCGAAAACTTGTTATTCGTTATGGGCCCTGACGTATTGGCAAGAGAAAATACTAGGCTAGTTCCAATACAGGAGCGTCTAATTGCCAATCTGGAGAGACGCTACAATAACAACAGAAAAAATAAAGCTGGTGTAGTCAGAAGAAAACAGTACGTTTTCACTTGCTTACTACTATTTAATTGTAAAAATTAAAATTCAATAAAAGATGCAAATTTTAACATAAAAAATGTAATGTATCACAAATTACTTAAAATTCTAAGAAGAAAAAAAACAAACAGATAGCAATTGCAACTGTCCAATAAGGGCAAGGTATTAGCAGCATATTTAAGTAAATGAAAACAGTATTTCAGCTTAAAAGCTCAGAATCTCAGAATACAAATAGTTGTTTCTAAATATTTTTATTTTGAAAAAAAAAAAAAATCAATTTTGACTGACCTGAATGAGGACCAGAAAAATCTCCTTGTACACAAACTCCATTAGTTGGATTAAGTGTATTTCCACACCAGCCACATGATAAATCTTTTAAACAGGATTTGCAGTCTGCATGTCGACTACAATCTCTACATTGTGCACCAGGTGTGGTGACACCACTATGAATGTTAAAAATCAATACTTTTAACATATTGAAAAGAACACTACTTATAGTTAAGAATTAAATATATATTTACATAATTTACTTTTATTACCTAGGTGCACTGCGATCCTCGTCAACCCATTCCCGACAACGACCAAACATAAAAGATGTTGTATATGTGGCAAACAGAAAACAGCTGCGAGTTTCTTCACACCATGCACAGCGGCCTGGATCTCCAAGACACGAAGTGCAATTAAAACGCCTAACATAAAAAAATTAAACATAATCTTTAAACCAAAACAGACATTTCAAAATATGCTAAATAAAATAACTTACAAATGACAGGGAGTGGGACAAAGATCTTGATGTCTGACGGCATCTTCAAATCTACCTCTACGACCACAGTGAGCTTCTTCAATCAGCCATTCACAATGATCGACCTATAAAAAATTTAAGCTAATAGTAAATAGTAAAGAAAATATTAACCTATTGAAAACATGGCAAGCAATCTTAGGTTACTTCCAACGGTAAAAAACTTTAACACATTGTAAATTTCCTGACCTCAATCACTAGTCATTAATTAATAGGTGTATTACAACTTTTTAAAAAAAATGTTCTAGTCTATTTCCAATCATATTATGGAAAGTCATGTGCATATTTAAAAAATTTATTATATCATATTTCATTGTTATGTAAGTCACATTTATGTTTTGAATTTGAACATTGCCATGTGGTGCATAGAATGCTCTGTTTTTTAAAAACTGCTCAAATAATATTTGATTTATGGGTGTATTAATCCAGTAAAGATCTCTGAAGTGATCAAAAACGTTTATTTGGTTGTTTTTTACATTAAATCTATCTGTTAGAACCATTAGGTGTCTTTAAATAGGTTCATTTTGAATAAAGGGTGAGAGTTTTTCACCCTTTTAAGAAAACAAACTCCCCAAAAGATATTAAAAATAATCAAACAAAATGTAATGATTGCAGAAAATAAAATAATATTTGGGTTCAATTCCTCTCACTGTTATTCATAATTACACAAACAAGACTGAGTGAAATAAAGACAATGTTAATCAAGTAATGACAAAACACAATACAATGCTAACAAATAAACAAGACAAATGAAAAATTGTTAGATAAACAAGCATGACTTTATATGATGTAATATCATATGTAAATATGTAATATTAGTAATGTACAAATAGTAACCATTCATCACATTGTTTTCATATAAGAATTTGAAGATTTTAAATATCAAATATTTCTTTCATTTCCTCAAACTGCATCACAATGAAACTACAATAACTAATAAATAATCATTATTTTTTAGTACTGCATATATTCTCTAAATGGATAAATATACTTAATTTGATATGTTAAAATTTTAAAAATATATATATAAAGCCTTACTTATGAAAATAAAATGTCTTCTTTTTATTCTGCTTGCACTTAAAGTATTAAGGTATGTTTGAAAATACTGTAGTATATGATAGTAACGATGAGCAATGTCATTAGTAATAACAGACATCAATACATTTTTTAGCACGAGATTAAATTTTCAGATAAACTTAACCTAGCAAATTATCAGGAAGATGACAATTACAATAAATTAATTAGTATATATCAGCATTATCCTAAATTTCCTCAAAGCTCAAATATAATTTTACACTTTCAGAAAATGTCTCACTTAAAATTATAACCCTTGCTCACTAGCTTTCCAGAGTGGTGAGGCAGATTGCAAGCAAAGTACTGCCAAAAACTTAAACCATAACATTTTTTAATGATGTATGGTCTAACTGATCTTACTGGTTAGCATTTCCAAACAAGCCCTTAGAGAATTATTTTTTCAATGTCCATCATACATTCAGCCAGTTCCACTAACACATAGCTGCTGGATAATGAGGAACAAAGTATAATATGGTCAAACTATCTACAAAAATTTCAATCAACTCAGACTCAAATCTAGGTAACACTTAAAGAAACAGACTAGTCTCTTTAAAATCCTAGTCATCTGGTATTCTTATTTCATGTGATAGTACAATTTTATTTTTAATACTATTTTAATGTATGAGTAAGTCTGAATCAGGGCTGTGGAGTCATGTAAAAATCTACCGACTCCGACTCTTCCTTACCACCCGACTCCGACTCGGGGCAGACATGTTACTGAAAGAGACCTGGAAATTCTGATGTCATTACGTGATCTCAGAATAAATGATTCAATAAATAGAGTTCTAATAAAGATAGAATGTAGAAACTTTTTATTCCAAAGCTAAAAAACTCCTCTAAGTAATATATAAATATGTATTCAATAATTTTTACTTTTCTGGCTGTTATATATAACAGAGGGAAAGCATAGCGCTCGGTCAAAAAATGACCCCTCCCAAATTTTTACATGTTTGAACTCAGGACACCTTGAAATTTTGAGATATGCAAAAGATTTGAGGTTTTTTTCTATATGTGTGGATGTCAGACTGTGTGTGGGGGGCATGATTTTGTTCACTCTGTTTGAAGTCTAATAATTTCTGTGGTCAGAGTGGTTGGAATTGGAGTCAGATGGTTTAACACAGGAGTTAGTTATTAAACGTCAAAGTGGTTGAACTAAATCATGTCCCCATATATATTCTAACATTTTAGGCGAGAACATCTTAACGGGTTTTACTGTACTATTATAAAATGACAAAAAAGCTTACTTTGAGGGTAGAGATGGGTTTTATTATTATTTTTTTAATAGTATTAATGCTCCTTTATATGCAAGCCACAGTGCCACATTTTGTTTCTTAAACTTAACCCATTCTGAGATATTGTTTAATATCTCAGAACAGAAAATAAAGAAATTAAACAAATTAGACGCCAACACACACATGCACGCAAATTTTTCCCCTTTTATTGACTTTTTTGAGAGGTTCAGGCAGTCTCCAAATATGTAGATTTGCAAAAAAAATTTGGAGGGTCAAATTTGGCATGATTCCAATACTTTTCCATATTATATATACATAACAAGTTGGGAAGTAAAAAAAGAGTTGGAGTCAGCGGATTTTTTGACGACTCTGACTGTGACTCCAGCTAAAACACCAAAAATCCACGACTCTGACTCCACAGCCCTGGTCTGAATGCAATGTAACTTAAAGAATTATTTATAAACAATTTAACAACAATTAATATGTCAAATATATTCCAATCTCTATAATAGAAAAATCTGTATTAAAAATAGAATTTTAGAGAATTAAGACTTAAAAAAAAAACTAACAAAAATTTGAAATTGGAAATGCTTTTTTAAAAAGTGCAACTCAGTAAAATAGCTTCAAAATATTTTTCACAATTGTATCCTGCAATAAACATTAGTTTAAACTAGGGCTTCCCAATTGGGTTGATGAGCAAATTAAACACATATTGTAAATGTATACATAATATTTTAATATTGTTTAATTATTTAGTAAATACAATCCTTTAAAAATTCTTGAAAATAGTTTCACTGTAATTTTCAAAACTCTTCAAATATAAAAATAATGTATATATATTTAAAGAGATTGACAGAGGAAAAAAGGTTCTTAAAAGGAGTTGATACACAAAAAAGTTCAAAACTACCAGTAATAATTTTATATACAGTTTCATAATATAATCTAATTAATGATTAACAAATAATGAGTAAAGAACATGCAAGTATAATTTCTCAAACATTATATGTAATAAATTATTTTATTAAAATTAAGATATGTTTTTATATACCTTTGCACAATCTTCACAATATATATAATCTGAACAAACAGGACAATTTTCAGGAATAGTAATGATGTAATTATGCTTGTTATCTCTGTGATAAAATGGATGATGAATATCGATTAATTTCCTTCGTACACATTCAGATGTTTGTTGACACCAACCACAAGCGGCATCACTCAGGCAGGAAAGACAGTTATGATGAATGTGACAAGATCCATTACTATATGGTTCTAAATGAGATACTGTAATAACCTATAAATATAATCAAATTACTTATTATATTAAAATAATAAACAATATCATATTTTTATTAAAGTCTAATAATACACAAAAGTATTATTTTAATAAATTATATAATTGTTCATAGAGCTACTGAAATGTTTTCAATGTCTGTGAACAAGTGAAAAACTAGGATTTCAAATTACTTTAAGCAATTTTAAAAGCATTTTTCATTCTAATATGTGATTTGTTTTTTAAAAAACGTTTTATATTTTTAACTATTATAAAATGGCAAAAAGCTTAATTTTGAGGGTAGGGATAAGTTGTATAAAAAATTGTGAATGCTAATAACGAGTAAAATCATCTGTTTTTATCTTCACAACTAGGTGCATAGATAGACACAAGGCATTTCTACATCATCTTTATTTGGAATATCGTATAGGCCGATAAGCAGACATAAAATATATAGCTTTTCCTTACATCAAAGGCTTCTTCAAAGAAATAAATAAAGATTGCAACAAAGTGAATATAAAACTTCCTCCAACTTATGAAAAATTGCAAAAAAAGAATACAAAAAATCAAACCTGACCCAAGCAATAAGATAGAAGAAATATATAGCACAATGAATGCAGTCTACTCAATACCATGCACCTGTAGGAACCCAAAAAGCTACATAGGAGAAACTAAAAGAAAAGTAGAAACATGTCTAAAAGAACATATTGCTGATTTGAAACATAGAAAAATAAATTTGGTGTTTTACAAGCATAGTACAATAAACAATTGTAATATAAACAAAGATGATGTGAGAATTTTACAAAGAAACAAATTGGTACAAAAGAAAATTTAAAGAAAGTTACGAAATAATAAAAAGCCAAAAAAATAACATCAATAAAAGTTTAAGCATTAAAATTCATGACAATTGGTTAAAATTATTATAATAAAGTCAATAATATTATCAACAGCAATAATAATGATTCTAATTATTACTACTATTATTAAGATTAAATTATAGTATAAATGTTTTTTAAAGAAATGCTAATATGCCAACGAGATTAAACAGTACCTCATTATCACGAACATCAAGAGTATATGCTAGATGTTTGATGTTAAGTCAAGAAACCTTAACTGTAATAGTACTTTTAAGTGTAAATATATTTTAAACTATAATGGTATTTTAACAGTAAAACAATTTTAACTATAAATAAGTAATTTTAAATGGAATGTATACGTATCAACACCACCTACAAGAAATCCCGGAAGTTGTGGTATGTTGTAACCTATTATAATAAACATTTTGTAATATGAGAAATTCATGATATGTTTTATTATGTAGCAGACAAATGAGGGGCTTATGCCCAAAATGCATATCGACCTATAGGATATTCCGAATAAAGATGATGTAAAAATGCCCTGTGTCTATCTACGCACCTAGTCGTGAAGATAAAAACAGATAAAAGAAGACACGGTTTCAGAATACACAACAGAGTAAATTTGTCATTAAGTCCGACCCTACTCGAGAAAAACAAGAACCCCTTGTTGGGAAGTCCCCAGTTGCCAGTGTTTAGAAATAACTTTGCATAAACTATAAAACATAACTTAAAACATCAAGTAGGACTTATCTATTATTCATAAAACAGTCTTTATTTATCACCTGTAAATAAACACAGGTGATAAATAAAGACTGTTTTTTCTGACTTTGTTTACTTAATTTGCAGAACCAGTTAACCAGTATAATATGTCCTAGTTGACATTTTAAGTTTAAATTAATAAATTAAGGGCACAAAGGCATTTAAATTTGTATAAAACATAGCATTTATTTATAACACAAATCTGATTCCAATATAAATAAATAAATAAATAATTTTTGCAATACAAGATAGATAGTATAGAGCAGGCATGGCCAACATATAGCCTGCGGGCTGGATCCAATCTGTTGAATGAATTTATGTGGCCCATGCTGAATCTTTCAATATTAACTAGTAAAGTCCGAATAGCTCGACAAAAATTCTGACACCTAAAAAAAAAAAAAGGTCAACAACTCCATTACTAATCTCTTAAGTATTGTACAGCGAAGAATGTTGATAGAGCATGATAATGTGAAAAATGTATCTGTAATCTCTATGTACAATTCAGTCTCTACGGGGTGACACCACACCAAGTTAAACACCAAGTTAAAGAGATAAGAGAGCTGTCCGTTCGTGGTTACGGACTTTGCCCTATTTGGAAATGGAAAGAAGGAGAAAGCAAGAGGTCAAAGTGTGAAAAGAAAGGGTAATAGTAAAGTTTGAAAGGAAGGCATGGAGGCCCCATGGGTGCCTGTATCACATTTATTGAAATAAAACCAGAAGATTACAATATGTTTACATAATATTTTAAGTGGTTGTCATAGAATACAAACTTTGAAGACTTGTGACAATTACAAAGCAGCAGGAAGCAGTTGATTTACAGAATTGGAAGGTGCAACCCAAAAACCGAAGGGTTACCAATGACAATGATGACAAGAAACTAAGAAGGAAATAGTTGTAATTGTTACCAGACAGTACAAATTTTAAAGATAAAGAGTACATTAACACATTTGTAGCATTTTTAAGGAGAGTGGGAGGCCAATAGAAAGTAAACACCAATTGGCATAAATGGATCACCATTCCGAAGAAAATTAAACGGATTTGGCAGCTGGGGTACAACAAAATGTACCGGACTACAGATGGTGGCCCAACTGATACAAGCAGAAATAAAACAGTGTTACAATACATTACACAGCACTGCCGGTGTTTACAGGAATGTTATATAGCGTACATTTACCATAATTATTTTACCCATTTCCTCACCTCCTGTTCCATGAAAGGCGTATCTTTAGGCTGTGGCTAGTTAGTTGGTAGAACTGGTGGTCTCTCTACTGAAGCCATTGGTGCTTAGAGTCTTTGTTTTATACACAAATTGCGTTAGCCTTCTCCACAGTTTTTTGTTGCTAAATACTTCCGCTGGGTTTGGTGGCCAGTTCTGTCCCTCCATGAGGCATGCGCCTATGAACGGGAGTCTGTCGTCGTCGTATTTTGAGCATGTGTAGAGGAAGTGTTCCGCTGTGGCCTCACTGGACTCATCACAGTCGCAGAGGTTGTTGTCCATTTTACCGAAGCGGTGGAGATAGGCATGAAAGTTGCCATGCACGGTCAAAATTTGGGTAGTCTCGGCATTTGAAGTGTAGTGTGTGGCCTTGACATGGTGAGTAATAGATGGAATGAAGGCGTAAGTTTTCCTCCCTGTGTCTGCATTTTCCCATTCGTGTTGCCACTCGTTGAGAGCTAAGTTGGTAGGGGTGACACCACAATGAGATCTTGCACCACCTCAAAATCTTCCTAGGGCAGCCTCTGGTTCAGCCTGTAGAAAAAGTTTTCTTTCCAATTCGGCCCGGGGGCAAAAACTGTTGGCCACCCCTATATAGAGCATGGTTTTTTCCGTCTGGATGCTGAGACCCCTAGTCCGAAAGTGAGTTTCTTCCTTTGTGTCTTCTTGTTTTCCTAGGTGATTGCCCTGGCCTCTTCACAACTTTGCAGGAAGTAGTTTGCAATGACACAACAGCAGTTCCCCACCAGCAATAGCAAGATATTACAAGTATCTATGGTTGAATCTCACCCAACGTCCTGAGTGTGACTAATCTGTCCTGTTGCTGCTGCAAATCTGCTGCTTACTATTTCTCTGCATCTTCCTTACATGTGTAGGCTGGCTTGAGTCTATCAATATTGACATTGATATGTCAATTTCTCACTACTATCTTAAAGTTTTTGTTTCCCCGCTTCAATATGTGATATGGTCCTTCTTAAGGCAGTTGTAACCGTTTTTGGACCGCATCAGTTCACAAGAAAATGTGGGAAGAGAAGGCAAGATCTTTATGAACTAACACTGTCGTTTTCTTGAGATGTGAAACTGGTATGATTTTCTGCATCTCCTCTCTCTCAGCCTACCAATAAAGATAGCAGATCAGGATGATCCTTAACTGGGGAGAGGAACTCACTGATAAATGTAGAGGTGCTCCATAGATCATCTTGGCTGTTGTTGCCTGGATGTTGTTTTTCCAAGCAGCTCTGAAACCCAACAATACTGTAGAAAGTGCCACGGTCCATCGGTTTGTAGAATGTGCTATTATCGCTGATTTCAGTTCGTGATGAAACCTCTCTACTTGGCCATTTGCAAACAGATGGTATGAAGTTTTACAAATTCTCTCAGTTCCCAACCAAGAAGTGAGGGCTGAGAAAAGTGACAATTTGAACTGAACTCCTTGGTCTGTTGTCACGCACAGTGGCAGACCAAAATGGGCTAGCCATCCCAAGTAGAAAGTTTCCACTATTGCTTGTGCAGTACTTTCAACTAAAGAGAATGCTTCTGGTTACTTAGAGAAATGGTCCACACAAGTGAGACAAAATCTGTATCCATAAGAGGGAGGCAAGGGTCCCACCAAATCTATGTGGATGTGCTCAAATCTAGTATTTGGAGTAAAGAAGACTCCCAGTTGGCTTCAAGTGTGTCAAGAGACTTTTGTTTGTTAACATAGAATGCATGAACGAATAAGTTCATGCATTCTATCAGGGTGAGAAAGTTTGTAAAGATGGTTAAAAACCTGCCGTCAAAAGTCCCTAGGCACAAGGGTTGTATTTGGTCAGTGGAAATGTTACAATATAAAATACTAGCTGGTTCTCCCATTGGAAGTGGCTTTCAGATTAAAGAGTTAGATGTATTAGTTTTTTAACTCTATGTCCTCTTGTTGCACCATCACCATTTCTTGAAAGTTGATGAATTTGCCAGTGTCTTGGTGATAGAGATGTTGACACAAGAGAGAGAGCATCCACTATTTTGTAAAAGGACATTGTCATCTCTTTTTACGAAACGAATGTCTGTAGTAAATTGAGTGGTAACATCCAAATGTCTCACCTGTCTAGGGGAACACTAATCAGTTTTTTGTTGGAAGGCAAATGTAAGTGGCTTATAGTCTGTGAGCAATATGAATGGACAGTCTTCAACCATATTATAAAAGTACTTGATGGAGATGTATGCAGCAACAGTTCTTGATCATAGGTGCTGTACTTTTGCTGTGATGGCGAGAACTTTCTGCTGAAGAAGGCTAGCAGCTGACAGTTGTGGGACACTTGTTGCAGTGCAGCTCCCATTGCCATGTTGGATGCATCTAAAGCAATTGTCAGAAGTGCTTTAGGTGATGGAAGAGCCAGAGTGGCAGCTTCCACTAAGTCCTTCTTGCGTCTCTCAAATACCTCTGCCTTTGCCTGCATCAGTTCGATATTTGGGCCTATCATTCTTAGCCGCCCTTTTAAGATAGGCATATAAAATTGCCTGTGTGTGAGCCACATGGGAAATAAACCTTCTGTAGAAGTTAACGATTCCTAAAAAACGACAAAACTCTTCAATGGTCTTAGGTTTAGGGAAACCCATGATAGCAGACACTTTGGTTGGTAAAGAAACAATACCTGCTGGAGATTTTGAAGCATTCAGCTTTACATCATATTGAGTAAAACATTGGAATACCAAATGAAGATGCTGTAGGTGTTCTGTTTCATCAACTGAGGTAATGAGCACATCATCAAAATATGGGACACAAAACTCTATCCCTTGAAGAACCTGATTCATGAAATGCACTGGAAGGTAGCAGCTGCATTAGAGAGACCGGTTACTGGTCATAAAGGAAGAAGGCTGTCTTTCGACTTAGCCTGAAGGAAGGTGACTGAATGAAGATGGGGTGGGAGGGAGAATAGGGTGGGTATAGAAGAGAGGATGGGATAGGTTGGGGGTAAGGGATAGCATAGGTTGGAAGTAAAGGTTGGGGTAGGTATGGATCCCAATGCCAACTTACATCGCGAATAATATAAAGTCAGTAGTACAACTGAATACAGAGACCAATCCGGAAGCAGAGTGCATTAGAGAGACCAAAACACATACATAGAGGACTAGCCCAACTACTTTTTGAGAGGCAGCAGATGCCTTGCACAATGATATATTCAAATTCCTGCCTTGCTGATTTTAATTTGTCCTGAGTAACCATCAAGATTTTGAAAAAACTAGGGGTCCTTTTGGCTCAATGTAATGTTGTACGTTGTGTCAGACTAGGTGAGAAGTAGTGGAAACTTCAGTCAGCTAAGGGAACTCAGCCAGGAGTTGATAAAATGGTGTATTCCCACTCACTGATCTAATGCTGGTTGGGGGGCCAATGGTGATCTTGCCTTTGGAGTTCATCTGGATCAGTGGATGTCCACTAGTAGTCCAAAATGGTGCAAAAAGTCCGGCTCCAATAATAGGTTGAGAAACTGCCTCAAGAATAAAAGGCCAATGATAAAACTCTTTGGAGGCCTAAGTCTAGTTTAAACAATTTTTAGTCATAAGTGCTTATGGTGGTCCCACTGGCTATAAAGAGCTACAGTTTTTCAGATAATCAGTTAGCTGGGTTACATGGCACAGAAAAAACGAACACATCTGTGCCTGTGTCCATTAAGAAACGTGTGCACATCAATTGATCGTAAAGGTAGAGGTGGTGAATTTTCAGAGTGCCATCACCCACATCACAGAGTGATGGCCCTTCTAGTTTCCCTGCTGGAAGTCACAAGGCTTGATGCACTTAACTGCTTTTTCTTTGAATTGCTGGTGATACCAACACTGGCTCTCCAGCTCAGTTTCATTACGACTCCTTGAATGTCAATTGATGGCTCATGCCCTGATTTCTGGATTGAGATCTATCCCAACATTCCAAGCATTCTAGGTGGGAAGAGATATCCAGCAATAATGCTTGTATCCTATGATCCTCTTGGGATACTGCTTGCACCGAGACAGAATTGTCTGTTGCAGCTAGGCTACTGTCTGTCATATCAGCTAGCCTGTCAAGGCTGTCATTGGAGATAGCCAGAATTTGTTGTATGTTTGACGGCAACCATTGTAGAAACAGTGGCTTTAGCAGATCAGCAGATTATGTGTGCCGATGCCTTGTTGTGCATCTCCAACAGCAGCTTGAACAGATTTTTATCTCCAAATTGCATTACTGAGATTAAATCCTTTAATCTCTGGGCCTCACTGTCCACATATTGACAGCACAGACAAGCTTTAAGTGCTTTGTATGGCTTATCTCCCAGAGGGTTTAGAATAATATCCGCTACCACCACCAGCTCTTCAGACTGAAGTGCTAAAACCATATGGTGAAATTTTGTCACTTCTACTATGACTCCCACTAATGAAAACTCCAACTCTATTTGACTAAACCTTATTTCAGGGTTTGCTCTCCAAAAAGTGGTGGCTTAACAGAAACCTTGGTGACTGTCTCAGTTTGTGGTGATTGCATCTCGAATTTGGGGATCTGGTTAAAAAAATAGTTCTTTCACTTACTTCTTAATTTCATTGGCTATTGCTAGCCCCACAAAGCAGCAATCCAAAAAAAAGAATTACCATATTCTGAGCATCCAGGGTAGTAAAGCACATAGTCGTCAATTTGACTAACTCTCATAGATTCATTGGAAAAAGTCGTTTTCTCACACTGTATACATTCAATTGAGGATCTGCCCAAATCTGTAAAATCCATATGCGATTTTTACCGATGCTGATGGATTATGATTACGTTGACAATGTCCATTGCCTTGTGCCCATTCGAATCACGTTCGGGTCACCATTTGTTGAGAAGTCCCAACTTGCCATTATTTAGAAATAACTTGGCATATATTAAAAACATAACATTTATTTAGAACAAAAATCTGATTCCAATATAAATAATTTTTGTGATATAACATAGAAAATACAGAGTATAGCTTCTTTCATCTGGACACTGACACTCTAGCCTGAAAGTGTGAGTTTCTTCCTTTGTGTCTTTTGTTCTCCTATCTGACTGCTCCGGCCTCTTCACAACTTTTCGGGAAGTAGTTTGCAACCACAACATTCTTTATCTCCCCACCCCTTCAACTTTTAATCACCGAAATTTAATAGCATCGATCTCCCTAATAAACAAACCTCCTTGCAAAATTTCAGAAATTTTTGAGAGAAAACACAGGAGTTATTAAGCTTCAAAGATGGTGAACAAAATCATGCTAGCATCGATACGCACAGAAAAACCTCCAAAATTTTATGCATTTCTCAACGATCCTGAGCCCAAAAATGTAAATATCTTGGGGATCATTTTTTGACCGATTGCCATACTTTCCTTCTGTTTATATATAACAGCTAGGAAAGTAAGAATTAATAATTCAGAGTATAACATATGGAAGAAAATTTCAAATCATCAAAATGCATACAAACCTTTGGATGGACAGGAAAAGCGTTCCATACTAACTGCATAGTAGCACTTTCATTATAAGCAACAGGTAAGCTCATAGTGAAATTTATTAAATATTTATGGCCAGGACTAGTATTAGGGAAGAGTGGTCGATTATCTGGTCTGTGTGCTTTTATACGAACATAAGAAGTGCTTGTATTACTTGCTATCACCTCCTGTAAATAACATCAAAATAGCATAATTTTTCTTTAATGTTATAATAAAATATTATATATACGTATATATGTTATATAATTTTATTAAATAATTGAATAAAATTAATATACCAAATGCTCCTCTGTGCTATCATTACTCATTTGAAGTATAGCTTTTGCACCAGAAAATCCCATGTACATTTGTAAGAAAGATCCATTTTCAGATAAAGGTCTTGCACTTAGTGGATGAATAAAGCCCGAAAATCTAACAATGTTTTCACCTCCACTAAGTCCTTCTCGTTCTCTGGAAAACTCAGTTTGGATCTGCAGATCTTCTGTTGTTTGGTTTATATATGATAACTGAAATAAATAATTATATTTATTAATTAATCTAAATTAAGTAATATAACTATGAAATAAGATTATCTATATATAAATGTACAGGGCAGAGAAAATCTTCAGAGTTTCTGAAGATTTACTCTGCTTTCAGATTCTATTCCAAAATCTTTCACTAATAAAGAAATGCTAATTCTTTTAGGCTCATCANGTTTTACTATCAATATAAATGCTAGTTCAAAAAACATCAATATATTTTAATCTGTATCTTTTAGGCTCATCACTATTGTGAACATATCTTAAGAAAAACCTTCCTATATTACTTTATAATTTTAAATCATTTTATTGTAAACTGTACAAAATTTTTATATTAAATTTCATTATATATCATGATTTGTTAATATATACAAAATAACTGATCATCATAAATGTTTTCATTTTTATTAATTTTGAATCCAAAGTGGAATTTAAATCTGTAACCCAGAATATATGCAATATGCAATCATTTGACAATATAACACTAAGCAAATAATTATAGCAACAATCACTTGATGATTTATCGTCAATCTAAAAATGTATGATTTTTATGAAACATTCCATTCATAGATGGCACTATACTACTTTACATTATTCTGTACACTGTGTTTCACATATTTACTATTAAATAACATTTTATTTTTAATAATTTTTATAATTTTTCAAAGCAAAAAATTTCTGTGTGTGAAAAGAAGTTTCTGAGTTTGTTTTGATCAAAATGTACAGCACAAAATGGCGGTTCGTGCAGAGTTACTCAAGAAAATGAATTATATAATCGAAAAATTTTATCTGTAATTGAATTGTTGTAAATTATACTGCTCCTTGTATGATATGTCCTTGTATGATATGATTTTAATTCTTTAAAATCCACAACAAAACCAATAACAGAATGCTTAATTAAATAAAAGAAAATTAAGTTTAAATCATTAATATGAAAAAAACATTGAAGAATTTAAAACAACATACTGAAATATATAAGTTTAATATTTGGCAAAAGATGATTATGTAAAATACAGATAATCTAATTTTAAGTAAAACTACTAAAACCAGACTATAAAATCAGAAGAAATATTGTTTTCCCAATCATGTAATTTAAAAACTTTATTTAAAAATTCAAATAATGACTTTATTTATGGAATTCTGTATGAGATTCTGAATATTTTAAGCTAAAATATTCTAAAAATTAACAGAAGATATTTTAAAAATTAAATATAATATTTCGATATTTTTATTGAAGCTAAAAATCAAAGAGAACAAGGAACAAATGTTTCTTGGGGTTTCTAGGTTGTAATATTTAAAATATTACAACCTAGTTGTAATATTTTAAATATTACAACTAGGTTAGCAAAGTCTGTTAAAGCCTTTATTTTTTCCAAATAAATCAGTTATTTATTAAAAACAAATGACTCTATGTATAAACATTAGAAAGAAAAACTCAACAGTTGGAGTCAAAATATTTAATGAGATTAAGTGCTTTTTTCTTATGATTTTACATTCTCATCTTCGTATCTACTACATTCAACATTATCATTTTGATAATTCAAAAGAACAATTGCATGTGCTTATAAACTTTTGAACCAAACCGATCAATAACATAAGTTTAAAATTTTAGACATGAAGTTCATAAACTAGTTAGTTTAAAAAATTTTATTGTCAGAAATGAAATCATTTTTGAATTATCAAAATGTTAATGTGGAATATTGTAGATCTGAAGATAGGAATATAAAATCCCAAAAAGTGTTTAATCTCCTTAAATATTTCAATTCCAATAGTTTAAAGTTTTTCCTTCTAATCAGTTATTTGTATCAAATAAAAACTAAAATACTTACTTTCTAACGTTGAAATTTTTCATTTAATTTTATATTAATAATAATCATAACATTTTAAATTATTTACGTAGTATAGTTTAAGATGTTATATACAAGTTAGTATACATGTAATACTGATATATTAAAAATCACATTAAGCAAATAAGTAAAAGTTCATTTCATAATAAGCTTACACCATCTGGTTGTTTCCAATTGACTGGATGTCTATACTTAAGAGAAATAAGACCAGGTCTAAAATCTTTTGTGCGACAATCGGCAATTGTTGTAATATCAGTCCCAGTGGGACCCCACCATTTTAATTCTGATATTGGAATGGAACTATTGTGAATTGGTCGGCACGTATCTGGTGGATCTATAAATCATTAGCCAAAATTAATATAAATTCATAAAGAAATATTTGTTATAAGGTACTTTTAAATGTTTTTAGCAATTCTTTAAAACAATTGTTTTAAAAAATTTGAAAAATATTAATCTTCTATCTGTAAATCATATAAAGTTTATTTCAAAACTTACTATGAATCGGATGACATTGTGACACTTCTACACACCAACTACATGTTGGTTGAAGGAAGGGATCCATTGTATCAGTGCTACCAATAACATTAGGACCAGAAGCCTCACCCCAAATCAAACAAGAATGGCAATCTTGTAACGTTGGACAAAGACCAGGACAGGAGTTTGCACTAAATGTTCCACTTCTGCATTCCTATAATAATAAAATTCAATATCAGATATACTCATAAATACAAATAAACTAATTTAAAGCATTATTTAAATTGACATCAAAAATACTGTTACTTATAACTAAACATTAAATCAACCTGTAGATGTGTAGCTTGTAGTTTGATCCAGTTTCATGTTTTACTTATATTAAAAATAAATTGTTTTACTATCAATATAAATGCTAGTTCAAAAAACATCAATATATTTTAATCTGTAATAAATATTAAAAAAATCCAGCAGAGAATGTGGTGCATTGTGTTAGAACTTTGTCTGCTCATAGAATAGAGTTCACATTCCTTAGTCTGCCAGTTCTTGAAGGCCATTGGTAAGGCTCTCACCAGAAACCTGCAGTAACTCCTCAATATCCTGCTGTATTGATTAAACCTAATGATAAACCTCTGCTCGTTGAGAATTCTTGGATACCTTCAGCCATAACTTCTTCCACACTTCCTCCGTGCATTTACTAGTTAATTCTTGCCAAGCAAAGCCAATATTGCCTATGGCATCCATGATGTTATATTTTTTCCAAAATTGCACCAAACAAACATAGATTTAAAGGAAGTACACCTTTTTACCACTTTTTTCTGATTGGTTTGTGTTCGTCAATAATCGTATTATGTATGAATCAATAAAATGCCGCAATAATTTAAATCATAGTGTGAGACAGAGGACCAGAGGGAGGATCCCTAATGACCACTTACACTGCACAGATTGGTGAAACCCGGTCTCAGTTGTTGGATGGCTAGGAGGGCAAAAAGTGAGTGGGGAGTGTGTCGGTAAGCTGGCAGGCATCCTTTCAATGACAGGAAGCAGGTTTAACAAATAAGCAAAGCATTTATTGAGGAACTAAATCTACATTACAGAAGGCGATAATTAATTCTAAGGTTAAATGCAGTTATAATAGACTATGTACATATAATGGGTGACTATTCTCGCCTATGTCGCTTACCTAACTTTAGGGAGAGAGAGAGAGAGCGATTTTACAAGTTCTAAAATATCCCCTAAATACCTCTCAGAGTAATGGAGGATTGGCAAATGTCTGTATGGAAGAGGTGAAGGCTTCAGTGTCTTCTCCGATGGGATCACAGTCCTTTGCATGGAGATCAATAAGCACAAGTACCAAAAATAACTTCCATGTGCGGACATGCCCTGAGTTCAGGAGTGCAAGCTTTTATTCGTTTTTCGTAGAAAAGGAGTCACATGATCACCATATGTTGACATTAACAATGCATTCTTGACACCTGTGTGTCAACTTTCCCAGCTAATTGTGATAACAAACGGTAACCTCTGATATAATTCTCACCAGGAGAGTTTTTTCTATTGGAGTTGTTTACAGTTCTTTTTTTCCGACAACTGCATTAAATTTGCGGATTTCACAATAGTAAATTTTGAGCTTTCTTTTAGGCTTTGAGCAGACGGTGGTATATCGAATCAGTGTTAAGCAGGGTCTTACTGTAATTAGATTTTTACTTAAGGACAAACAATCTGGTAAAATTTATTTTATAAAAGGAAATGCATTTTGAGCTATTTTTCCGCCATCAGAATTTATTATAAAAATTTTTATGGAACTGCAGAATAAATTATAGTAAAAATTAACAATTATTTATTATCATATAAACACCACAGAAAATTAGATTACTGAAATAATTTTTAATAGTAACCACTGAAGTAACCAAATATTTTAAAAAACAAATGAGATAAAACAAGTAAAACTAAAATGTGAGGATTTTAGTTGGTGCAAGGCGTGAGGATTGAGCTGTATTGTAGGTATTGTTGTTAAATAAGAATAATGTCAAATAAGTTGCCAGATGCACCAGTTCTAAGATTTGATTGTGTAACTTAGATTACCTCCATAGGAGAAAGTCTCTCAGATAACAAAAGCAGGTTCCAATTTAATTGATGGGTAAAAAGCTTGAAAATCCAAGACTGTTACTTACTCCTTATCATACAAGTATTGAACGGGACTGACCCAAATTGTCCAAGAAATAAGGAATTGCCGACACATATACTATGCAGAAGCTTTTTTTTTATTTATAAAGCGATGCTTATGAGATAATCTATCAATTATAAGAGCGTTAACTTTGTTGGCAGCTTGATAGTCCTTTTTTTGTATATTCTCTAATAAATAACGTAAAGCTTTGCGACAGCTACAGCATGGACTGTTTATATTATTTGATTTAATAAATGCGAGTTCATTGTTTAATGATATTTTGTATTTAAATCTATGATTATGGAAAATCAGAGGGTGATAGAAAAATTTCAATCCCATATTTGAAATCAGTACATAAAGTTCTATTAGACACAATTTCTCTCTTCTGTGTGCCAAAAATCACATTGACCAGTGTAATCAATTCTCAGATTCTGGTAAACATAATAGATCTGGAGAAATAATAACAAAGCAAAATTGTATTCTAGACTATAATTGTAATATGGGTGTAATTGATCTGTGTGAGGAAGTGTTATACAATTATCCATGCATGAAAAAAACAGTGAAATGGTATAAAAAGGTGTTTTTTCATATGTTAGATATTGCACTGTATAATGTTTTGTTTGTGTTGACAAGTAACAAAAAAACATGTCATTTCTTGATTTTTGTATGGCAGTTATCAGAGAAATTATGGAAAAGTTTCACACAAGCAGACATGTAACCTATTGCGGTAGACTGTCACATGAAAATCCATTGTGTTTATCCAAATGGCATTTTCCTAGCTATATAACACCCACAGAAAAAAAAATATCCAATTAGAGTTTGCAAAGTATGTTCAGCAAACAAAAAGCAAATAGAATCACGTTACCAGTGTGAACAATACTCCATTCCACTATGCATTGTTCCTTGCTTTGAGATTTTTCCTACTAAAATTAACTTTGAAATAAAATTTTTTGTTTTTACATTTATTAATATGTCTATTTTGTGTGTGCAAAATATAAAGTAATTTAAAACGATAGAATAGCCACAATTATTTTTTTCTGAAATGTGTAATCACATTAGGCTTAACATTAAAAAAAATTTAACTTGGCATGATACACAACAGAAAAAATATTCAACACGCGATAGGTCAATTAATTTTAATGTTTCATTGTGTATTTATCTCTTTATCTTTATGTATTCCTTTCTTTTATTTCATTTTATTTAAGTGCAATCATTTTTGAATTTTTTGAATACAGTAGAGTCTTGAAAACTCGGCCTAATGTGGACCGAAGGGTGGCTGAGTTTGTGAAAATGCCGGGTTATCGGGAATGAGGTTAAAAAAAAATAAGTATGAGTGTTTCCTCAGAAAATACTGTACTGTACTTGTATGTATTGTTTACTTGAGAATACAACAGAGAATAAACTGCCCAAATACCCTTAAACCAGGGGTGGCCAACCTTTTGCATACCATGTGCCAATTTTTTGGCAGACGAGTTCAAACACTTTTTATACAGTCTTACGTTTAATGTTAGGGGTTGATAAATTGAGGTAAGAATAAATCTGCTTCGCTTAGGAAAGAAAAGGGAATAACTTAATCACGCAGTTGAATTAATTAATTTATGACAGTTTATTGAAGAACCAATTTACAATAGTCAACAATTGATCTCCTGTACGAGAGGGCGATTGCCTCATGATGGTGCTATTGCTGCCAGAGTCTCGTTTGGTGAAGATTACTCTGCACCACAATTATTGGCACTGAGAACGAGATCAGCTTGGAATAACTTTAATCACAATAAATGTTTTCGGCCATTTACACGCCTGTAAACTGATCGGAAATAAAGATCGCAAGACTCAAAATACATGCATACATTGTAATTTACTATGTGGAGAATACTCATTTTATCTGCAAAATAGACCATAACGAATTGTGCAACAAATGAACTTGCCAAGACAGACTATAAAAAATTTATTTTTCTATATAATCGCAAAAAAGCCAAATCTGGCAATTTTGCTCAGAACTAACTGAAGCGCCATTTGTAATCGTCCAATGCTCCACGTTTGGCGCATGCACCACATTTTGGCCACCCCTGCCTTAAACAAAGGAAAAGTACGTCCTTTATCATAGAGCCTTTACTACATGAAAATGAAAATTAATGAATACACTGTGTACAGTAATTTACCTGATAAGACAGACCTCAGAAAAATACTTTATGAGGTATAAAGCTGTCTATAATGAAAATTAATTAACTAAGGATTTTTTTGCCCTGCCAGGGTGTGGCCGAGTTATCTGGACTGCCAGGTTATTGAGTGCCAAGTTTTCGAGACTCTACTGTATTTTCAAACTCTTATGCTCATTTTACAATATCTTAACATTCAGATGATAAAATTTGAATTTGTATTCTAGATTATTATTGTCCAAACTACTATTGGGGCATTCCATTACGTATTCTACTTGAAGGTTGTTAAAAATGTCCAAAAATGTTTTAGTTACTAATTTTTGCTGTTTCTTCAAAGTTATTGAGTGTCTTTAAACTGTTTATTTTGTGCTGGATTTTGGGTGTATTACATAAAAGTTTAAATCTAATAAAAGTACTCACTCTCTGCATAGTCTTTTCTAAACAAAATTCTTGGTTATTTTGTGAACACCAACTACAGGAAGGATGAGCTGTACAATTTTCCTTTGACCTGTGACTGTTAAAATGCGTAAGAAACAATAATTTACATACTTCAAATTTGGAAACCTTTACTATTTACATAACATTTTGTAAACTAAAAATTATATATTACACATATTTTCATATATTTTTTTCAATATGAGACACATCAATATCTATTATTTAAAGATAAATTAAAACTATAATAACCTGGAACATGCTGATGCAGGTAATTGTTGACCTCTAATAGTAACTTCTGGTGGCATAACATAAGCCAACAAACTTCCTTTCATCATTCCGCTATAGCCTCCAGCAATCAAAAGAGTATGGCCTTTTCGAACACCCATTGCATGAGCAATAACACCCTGCGGTATAGGATTTTGCAAACCTAAAATTAAAATTGTGGATAACCTTAAAAAGAGTATTCTCATTGGATCAAACTGTATTTTTGCAGATTGTCCAGCATGCTGGTCTATCTGGGAGACCATGAAATCAGAAATTTTCATATGGTAAAAACTGGCATGCCAGTTTAAGTGAGGTTATACATCCCTCTCTAGAGGGTGCATTCAAAAAATGAATGAGTTATGTCATGTAAAAATGAACAAATTTTTATTCTAAAACTGTAAAACTTTCTGCATTGCATCAAAAACTACAATTATATGTTTAATTTCTTCATTTTGTCTTCTTTCTAACAATGTAAAATACTTGTGGAATGCCCAAAGTGCTTTTTTTGTTTATTTTATTGTAATTTGATTCAAAACTACAAAAATAAATAAATTAAATTTAAGAAAATTTGCTGTAAATTATCTCAGCTTACACTAAATGTAATATAGTATATTTAGTGTTATAAATGATATTATAAAGTTTTGTAATTCAACTTACACTGATTAACATTGGCTTTGTGTGAAATTTGAGAGGAAGGTGTTATTTTTAAGTATTGAGGTTGGTAATAGTAGCCCACACTAAGTACTACTAATACTAATCTCAATAAGTCATTAAATGTTTTATTGTAAGTAAACAAACATCACAAAGCCTGATAAGTATATAGAAACATCCAAGGATCGCATAAATGATTGGGCTACAATTCTGCTAATTATCCAGGTCAGTTCTTTTCTTCCAGATAGTTCTAAAGTATTTAATAAATTATTAAAATTATAATTATTAATTTAGTTAAGAGATGGTACCTAATGTCTACATCTAGTATCAAATTACTTTGGATTAATTAATTAAAATTAGCGAAATTGTAGTTCGATCATTTAGGCGATTGTTGAATGTTTCTATGTTTTATTGTTTTGTAAATAAAACTCTCTTCCTGATTTTAAGTAAGTAAAATTACAATGTTGTTATTTTATTGTACTCAGAAGTATACAGTAGAGTGTCATTTATCCGAATCAATTGGGGATTGGGGTTGTTCGGATAACTTATTTTTCGGATAACCGATTACATACGAAAAAATATATTAATTAACCCCTTAAGGACATTGAGATTTTTGATATTTTATAATCATTAATTTAATTAAACGTAAAAAATACTTAAAACTGAAAAAAAACGAAAGAAATGCATTTATTTTGAAGAAAAAGCTTCAAATTTTATTTTCCTTTGTCTCGTCTTTCTGTGAAATATAACACAGATGAGTCATTGTTTACACAGCTGGATGACCTTGAACACAGCTGGAGTCGGATTTCCCGGGACATTCTCATATACGTCTCGGGAGGACAAGGGTTTAAAGTAGGGTGAATATGACCGACATGTATATTTTAAAATATTTTTAAAAAATTAAAATTTTCATTGCAATTTCTGACCCCCCGGCTTAATTAAACTTATCTATAATATAATCGAGACGGGTTGATGATAATAATAATAAGCGCAGAGCCCAAACGGTTAGGAGTTGAAAGTTGAAATTTGGTACATAGATAGGGTACGTCACGAAAACACACACTAAGAAGGGATTTTTCGAAATTCCTCCCGGGGGGGAGAAAGACAGGATTAAGGCTTAACACTTCCATCAACAATGGAAGTGTTAAGTAATAATGGCGGTATTACGTAACAATGGAAGTGTTAAGTAACAATGAAAGTTTTAAGTAACAATGGAAGTGTTACGTAACAATGGTATTGTTAAGAGAAAGAGACGTGCAAGATTTACAGGCGCAGATGCAGTTCTTTTGTTTTTGCGGGAAATCGAACATATTTTTAGAACCATCTAAAAGTTCTTTAATTAGTCTGGAAACAAGGGGACTCAATTCTTGCATTCTGTGAAAACGGGTAAGGTTGACTGTAACGTAATAATCTTTATCTTAGTTATCGTTACTTTTGCCCGAGCAATGCCGGGCCCACCTGCTAGTATATAATAAAATCTATTAATTAAAAAAATTAAAAAACTATTGGAGGTCGTTTTTGACATCAGAAAGCAGCTTTAAATAACTTTACTGAAGGAAAATCAGTGCACTACAACTTTAGAACGATTTTGATTAATTTTGATAAAAAACTCCCATTAAAAAATCATTAAAAGGCAATTAAGCCTTAATCGAGCCTTATCAAAGGCTCATTAAAATTGCGATAAAATTTTTTCGCGTGGGCAAAAATTTTGAAAAAATTTGGGGACCTAAAAAAACATTTCAAAAATTCAAAAAAAAAATTTGGGGGGGCCAAACGCCCGCGTTTTTCGTAACGCTAAGTAACTTGCCCGAGGTATCTCGGGTTATGGGCTTAAGGGTTGAAATTTTTCTCCATTGCGTGTCTCTTCGCATTGAATTTTCGTCGATGTTAAGTTTAACTAAAACTTTCTAAAATAATAATCATGACTATTGTATAGTTAAAAATTATTTTTTTATTTTGTACAAACAAAATAAATATATTGAAAAATATAAAAACCAAAAAAATATACTTTAGAAGTTGATCTAGTATCAAAAACATTGATTCAGCACCACACACAGTCCTAGGAAAAACACTACACAAAAGTGCCAGTGCTGCCAGCTAAAACACAAACACCAACAAAAGAAATATTGAGTAGCCCAAGATATAGCCAAAGATTGCAGCGCCACAGCACTAGCAAAAATTTAAATTAGCTGACTGGAATGCTTTCAGATAACCGACTTTCGGATAAACGACGCTCTACTGTATTTTCTTTAACAATTAATTAATAACTAGTTTTGTTAGATCTGATTAATTTTATTTTATTTAGTTGCAGTTTAGTCAACAGGCCATAACCCTGGGTTTCAGCATGCTGGTCTCCTCCAGTTTTATGCAGCATGCTTGTCAATCTACAAAAATATAATAATAATAATAATAATAATCCTCATAATATAATATAGTGAAAAAACTGTACTTAAACATGTATTGTTCCTAAAATATCTATGTAATAATTTTATAAATTATTAATATACATATTTAATTAATGCACTTCATTGTGCTGAAGAAACAAAGAAAACAGGAAAAGACACTTTCAAATTTGTAAAGAAAATTATTAATAATATAAAATATAAAACTTCATACTTGGTTTCTTCATGCCCAACACATGGAAATCAACCCATTTGTGACATCCCAGATGATATAAATATATTTCGTTATCATAGCATATCTCTTGATGGGAATGACGATGTGTGTATCCACCATAGATTACTAAATAATCTCCAACAACAGCTGCACTATGAAAGGCTCTTTCTAAAGGTATAGATGTTCCACTTTTTGGATAAGCTATTTGAGTCCAATACTGTTTATCAACATGGAATGCATGAATTTGATTACTCAAACGACTAAATCTAGCATAGTCAACCATGATACCTCCATAAATAAAAAGTGACTTGGTGGCAGCATGATAAACTGCTGAATGTCCAACTATTCTTCTTTCTAATTCTTTTCCTCCCAAAGGTTCTATTTTTTCCCATTGTGCACCTTCATTTAGATTGATTCTATACATACCAGAAGAAAATGATCCATCTTCTAAACTACCACCAAAGAGATACAACCATTTTCCTTCTACTAAAGTAAGGGAATGTTTAGTTAAAGCTGGAGGTCTAATATTGCTGTGCTTTGCTTCTAATTGCCATTCTTCTTTCGCAACATTATATAACCACAATTCATCAGAAAGAAGTCCATTTTCTAGTTCTCCACCATAAAGTACAAAGTTTTTAGCATAACATGCAATAGCATGACCCCAACGAGGTGATGGTCCAAATACAGTTGAGATCTTTTGCCATTTACTTTCATTAAAATTATATGATAATAAATCACCTAAAACAGATCCAAAAGTAAAACCACCGAATAAATAAAATTTGTCAACGTGTGCTAAATAAACACCCGCCAAACCAGCTCGTGGAGATAAATCAGTCTTTTCACGAGTCAATAAATGCCAAGTATTTCCACCATTTAAATTTGATTCAGGTAAACTGCACGATTCTCCTGAATATCCTGGTTTACAAATACATTTTGGAGGATCCATATATCTATCACATTCACCAGTTTCTTCATTAATTCCACAATCATTTGGACAAAGTGATATGTCACAGGCTTCGCCAGTCCAAAGCTGCTCACAGTGACAAATATTACCAACACATTTACCTCTTTGACTACAATTTAAAGGACAATCAGTTATGTTAAACATTGCTTTAAATCCTTTCCTGATGTAATTTGTGTCACTATACAGAAGAATTAGCATCTGTAAAAGAAAATAAATGATAAATTTTTTTATTATGTTGATTAGTTTAAATTTCTCAAGCAATTCAAACTAATGTTAAACATCACATAATATTAATGAAAAATGTTAATATTTCATTAGAATTATAAAAATAAAGATTTTCTATACACTTATGTACAGTACCTCCATGAAAAATTAAAAATATTTTCATTTTTATACATAGAAGCTATCATTTATCATTTTCTATGAAATGTTTTGTTTAGTAACAAATTGATGATAAAGTTTAATCTTGGTTCTGAAATCCATTTTAATTGTAAATCATACTAAAATTATTCTTCTACAATAATTCTTATTTAAATGTAAATTTATTAATCATCAATTCTTTGCCACCATTTCAGAAAAAATAAACAAGAGAATTATCAAAAACAGAGACAAAAAAATCCAGCAACAAGTTGCATAAGTTTACTTGCAAAAAAATTTTAAATCATGGTGGTGCCATCTGTTATGATATTTTATTTTAAAAACTTTCTATATTATTAATTATTATAACATGGCAAAAAGTTTAATTTTTGAGTGTAGAGACAAGTTTTACAAAAAATTACAAATATTTATAATGAGTAAAATCTTCATTAAATCCAACCCACTCAAGATATGACAATTGACTAATACACAAACCTGCCTGCAAAATTTCAGAAATTTTCAATGAAAGGCACAGAAATTATTAAGCTTAAAAGTGGATGAACAAAATCATGTCCCCATACACATACATAGTAAAAACTCCCAAGTTTTTTACATTACTTGATGTTTTGAGGTCCTGAGTCCAAAAATGTAAAAATCTTGGGGGGGATAATTTTTTACCCAGTTGCCATATTTTCCATCTGTTATATATAACAACCAAGAAACTAAAAATACTCAAATAAGAAGTGTCAAAAATATAACTCATCAGTTATATTCCAGATATATAAGCCATTGTCGTGTCTGTAACAGTATCCATTGCCTAAAACGCCTAGCAATGATTTTAAATTAACAATACATTATTTTTATTTGTAATAGGAATTTATTATTGATATGAAATTATTACTTATACCACAGAATGGTATAAATAATTATTATATGCCTTGATTAACCTTATGCCGCATGTTTACAACATCCCGTGACTCAGTGAACATCGCACATTGACTCATGGGAAATTTGTTGAAAAAATAGCAGATACATTTAAAATCAAGGTTTACAAGCAAAGGTAAATAAACAAATTAAACTATTTTAAAGTATTTATAGAATGTTTAATAGATAGAAATCTAGATCCGTATGACGCGATTGGGACTTTAATTAATAACAGAGCTGTAGAGCATATTGAAAGGAATAAAAAGTCAAAGGAACCGTGCTTCATGGGAATTTGTAAAGAATGCCCACTATGGAGCCTCCCAGGCTACTAGTACTCCAGATTTTTGTCACAAAGTCATTAACAGTATTATTTAATTAATAGAAACAGAAAATTGCAACAATTAAAATGAATATGGAAATGCATCAATTCAAAACCTATATTTCTATAAAATCAGAATATAAGTTAAACTTCTCTATGGGGAACTGTAATATTAATGTGTAATATTCTCTGAAAAACTGGTAGTGAAAGGATGGAGGAAAAGAGGAAGACTCTCTTCCTCCTTCCAAGGCTGCATTGGAAAGATTAGGTGGAGGAAGACTTGAATCAGAGGGGACTTAAGAGAGAAGATGCCCTTGATAGGAAGAAATAGAGGAAACATATTAGAGAAGGAAATGCCGACCCATATAAACATAGAAAAAGATGAAGATAAAGAAAAAAGAATTCTCTATAAGTCAAATTCAACAGGTTTGTGAAGTTTCTCTGGTTATTCAAAAATCCAGTTACAACTGATCAAATATCAGAAGATTTAAAATCTTTATTTTTTCTTTTCAGAATAAGAACATGACATGCATTTCAAATCAAAGTTTAATTAACAATCCCTCTTCAGTGTTAAATGCATTTTCACTCTCAAATCATACAAATGTAGGTGGTATTAGACAATAAAATTATAAACCATTACATTTTTGCAGGTTTTAATTTCAATTCTTCTATAACCACAGAATTATTAGTAGTATTATACACTCCATGACAATTAAAACATTACTACATCTCCATAGGTGAAAAATATAACAAAAACAGACAAACAAGTACAAAATTACAATGCATGATGAACTATTATAAAAAGAAAAATCTGAAATGCATATGTCATGTTCTTTTTCTGAAAAGAAAAAATAAATTTAGTTGATCAGTTGTAACTGGATTTTTTGAATAACTGGAAAAAACCTCACAAGCACATTGAATCTGGATTATAGAGGATATTATACATCTGAATAGAAGAATGAATATATATTTATATATATATGAGGATTTAGTATGTAACTACAGTTATTAGAAATGGTAATATTGACTGACTTGTCAATAGTAAATTAGTAAATTGCTGTTGTGTTCCTTTTATAACAAAAAGAACACAACAGCAATCAAATTCCAATGTATGTGACTAGTACAATACAAAAGAAAAATACAATGAAATTTTTTTAAGTTATTAATTAATAGCTAAAGATGGATGTCAATAATGATAAAGTTAATAGTTTCTTTTATTGGATAATCTCAGCAGGAACCAACTGTTATCAGTTTATCATATTTAGAACTGTTTTATAAAATTGTTTTTAATTAAATAATTAAGAATAAACAAAACTGTCTTTCAGCGTTAAAGGTGTTTAGTTGTAAAAATATTTTAATTACAAACAAGTGCTTTTAAAATTTCAAAATGTCATCTTCAGATTGAGAATATACCATTCACATTAGTTTGTAAAGTACATTAACAGATTCCAAATGCACCATTTAAATCATAATGCATAGTTTTTACATAAAATTGAACATACATGACATAAATGTTATAATTTTAACTTGTTAACATATTTTTAACATATCAATCTTCAAATGGGAGGAGTAAATCTATACTAATATTATAAAGAGGTTATGTATGTATGTATGTATGTAAGTTTCTTTGCAGCAGGTAATCTCCGAAACTACTCATCCAATTTCAAAAATTCTTTCACCAATATTTAGAATGGAACCTCAGGGTGGACATAGGCTGTATATTATTCCGTTAAACATTCATATAAATTAAATGATATTATCTATGGTTAAGACTTTTTTGTCCAACAGATGGTGCTACGAGTACGACGCCCTAAATTTGCTTTTCTGTGAGGCATTACGCTTTTCTGTGAAAATGAACTAAAGCGGATCATCATCTATCTATCTATATAAATAAAAATGTAATGTTCGTTTGTTCCTACCGATTCCTTTGAAATTTTGACACAGCGCTGCATTCGAATACGCATGTGTTTTTATATACTGTAATATACGTGTCGAAATTCCTCCCACTGAAGGGAGATGGTTAGGATTAAGGCTTATGGTAAAGAACTCTGCTTCTATTTATACTATTTTAGATGCGGGTTTTTGCGTNAATTTTGACACAGCGCTGCATTCGAATACGCATGTGTTTTTATATACTGTAATATACGTGTCGAAATTCCTCCCACTGAAGGGAGATGGTTAGGATTAAGGCTTATGGTAAAGAACTCTGCTTCTATTTATACTATTTTAGATGCGGGTTTTTGCGTTTTTGATTGCATTTTAATAGGGTACGTCAACAGAATGTACACTAAGAAGGGATTTTTCAATATTCCCCCGTGGGGGAGAGGAACAGAATTAAGACTTACAGAACTTGGCTTACAGAATTAAGGCCCGTGAAGAACTTGGCTTCTATTATATTATTTTAGATGTGGGTTTTTGCATGTTTGATTGCGTTTTAATAGGGTATGTCAACAGAATGTACACTAAAAAGAAATTTTTCAAAAAATTTCCCCCCCACGGGGGAAGTGTTATACATTTATGATAGATACATTTTGAGCCACAACAACGCGTGGCGGGGTCTGCTAGTATACAATAATTTTAAAATGAAAATAATAAAAACAAAAAATATAACATTCCTAAATTTGACTTGTCTTCACAGATCATACCAGTAACTTCTTTTCAGCCACCCAGATCATAAATGCTGCTATTTTCAGTTTTCTTTTCAGGGCATATTTATAACCTTTGTCTGCCTCATTGGTGTGGGAGAAGCTATATCTGGTAGCTACAGCAGTATTCAATGTGGGAACTCTAGGGCCAAGTGGCAGTGGCGTATGGTTGTGTTTGATTTAGCTCCAACTTTAGAGTTTTACATCTGCGTTTTTCGAGACTAATCGTAAGCTTTATATTACCATCTCGTTACTGAAGGTCTATTGTGTATTTTAACATTTAACTTGTAAACATCAATCAATTATTTCGTGTGTAACAGCTGTTTCTCGGGCGTGACCATGTGGCTTCGTTCAGGTCATGATTGTTAATCAACTGTTTGTTTTAAAAATTTTTGGCTTATGTCACTCATTAGCAGGTATATTAATGTAACTGTACTTGGTTCTCGGACCTGTCCTCTGAAATATGGTTTTTGATGGTGTCCTAAGGTTGTTTAATGCACACAGCGTTGCGTTTATTGCTTACGTTGATGATCTGGTTTTATTAATATCTGGTAAATCGAGGAGTGAGCTGGAGTCCCTTGGTGAAAAGTGGGTGGTGTTATTTAATAAATGGCTTGTGGCTAATAAGTTGGAACTGTTGATTGATAAGATGGTGGCAATTTTATTAAAAGGTAAATTAAGTAAGGAACGGCTGCCAAGAGTCAGGCTTGGTAATATGGTTATTAAGGTTGCCGACTTGGTTAAGTATCTTGGTATTTATTTTGGGGTCGGTATGAGCATTACGCCACACATCACGTATATCACTGACAAGTGTATTAAGGTATTTGATATGTTAAAACATAGTATTAAGAAAGAATTGGGCTCCAGTTTCATGACTCTGTGTATTTTATATCAAGGTTTATTTTTAAATAGTATTATGTATGGTATTTTAGCATGGCGAGACCTCCTGAAGGGGTATCACAGGGTTAAGTTAGAAAAAGCCCAAAGGAGTGTCTTATTGGTTTTAACAAAAGGGTATAATACTGTTTCAATGGGTTGCCCTTCAGGTAATCGCTGGTGTGTTACCTATCGATTTAGAGATAGAGAAAAGGTATTTTAGTACCCTAACTAAGAAACATATGATTTTTAATTATAATGGTGTGATGCATGACAACAATGATGGTGGTATTAATAAGATTAATGAGGTGGTTAATGTATTAAATGGCTTGTGGCAAGACAGGTGGAATAGGTCTGGTAAAGGAAGGATTACCTACGGGTTCTTTCCTTGTATTAATAATAGGTTAAAGGCTAAGTGGGTAGGGCCTAACTATTGGTCCACTCAAATTTTGAGTAGGCATGATGATTTTAGATATAAGTTAAGGTCGTTCCACCTTGTCGATGATGGTTATTGTGAGTGCAGTGCCATCGACACCCTCCAACATTTTATGTTTGAATGTGTTTTATATTATGGTGATATAGAGGAGCTAAAGGGTATTCTAAATACAGTAGACCCCCTATAACACTGTTGATAATTCCATTTTATATGAATTCCATATTGTACGAGTCACTTAGATTTTACAAATACGTGTGCCGGGCTGTGAACGGCTCACGTATTTGTAAAATCTTGTGTCTCTTAGTCAGAATTTCAGCCAAAATTAGTATTACGTATTTGCCAGGTTCACACTAGCTTTTTGATCTTCAGGTAAATTGGTGTTACGTTGGCAATTGTTAGCAGTGCATCCATGGGTGCAGTGTGTTAGGCACTGCATATCCTTAATGCCATATCCCTTTGCATAGAGAGTAATTTCCTTCTATTGTGCACCAACCTTGCCTTCTCTCCCCAAATCTGAGTTGAATATAGCAGTGCTGGCTCAATAGCACCTTTATAAATGAGATTGGTGTTCCTACTGCCAATCCCCGAAGTGTTGCGGGCTATATGATGAATGGTGTTGACACGTTGGCGCACCTTCTTACATAGTATAAGCATTCTAAGACATCTAATGCTTACTTCTTACATAGAAGCAAGCATTAGATGTCATCTCATATTAAATTTAATAATTATAATTAAATTAATATTTATTAAATAATTTTAAAAATTCTGGAGAAAAGAATCAGCCCAGAGCAGGACTTGATCTTGGAACTGCCACTTATCATGTGGATGCATTGCCAGTTATGCTACCAGGACCTCCATCTGATCCTTTACTTCCAGGCATATTTAATTTAGATATAAGCATACTAATTACTCAAGGCACCAACTGGGAATGACTTGGAGTCCATGGCCTATAATCACCCACTATGGCATGCAACTATCACTTCACCCAGCATGGCATATATACATATATAAACAAATGTTGTATGGACACAAACAACTCCCAGATCAGACGGAGGGCTAGGTACCAAAACTGGCAATGCATTTGCATAAGCAGCAGTTGTGGGTTAGAGACCCAGTCTGGGCTAATTCTTTTCTTCCAGTATTTTTTAAATTATTTAATGAAAGTTTGTGACTTTTCTACGAGAAGTTTGCATCACGCCAATTGAGAATCATTGCTTTATATTATACGTATTGAAAGTTTGTGACTTTTCTACGAGAAGTTTGCATCACGCCAATTGAGAATCATTGCTTTATATTATACGTATTTGATAAATTAATATTTAGATAATTGTGGCTATAATATATTTCTGTGTTTATTTTTATTATTTATCATTGAAACATTTCTAGTGATTTTGTTTAAANACAGAGTTGTTTACAAACAGATTTTATTTTAAACAATTTATATGATTCATATTTGTTCTAAAATATTTTATGCTAATTTATTTCAATGTATTCATAATTACCTTATTAACATCCATATTCACAACTAAGAATCCAGAGTTGAAGTTATAAGTTAATCATTCACTTCACTTTTAGTATGATTATGGTTAACTTCTAACCCTAACTCTTAGCGGCCGGATGGCCGAGCGGCCAAGGTGGCAGCCTACCACTCTGGGGACCTGGGCTCAAATCCAAATGGGTCGAATATGTCGGGCCCTGTCCCTCACCACCTGGCAGCCCCATTGTGGGCCTGGCCGAATCCATAATGGATTTGCAAAAAGAGGATGTCTTAGTGCCCACAGGGTGGAAAGAGTTAAAAAAAAAAAAAAAAAAACCTTAACTCTTGATCCTTAGTTGTGAACACAGCTGTATGTCTTATAAACTATGATAATCATGAAAAATCTTACACTTTCTGTTTTAGCCAATTAATTTTTTGTGTTTATTGAAATTGTATATTTATTTTTGTTTTTATTTGTAAATCAAACACTTAAATTTAAAAAATACTACTTACAGCCCCGGAATTAGCAGTTATAGGTGGAGGAAGAGTACTACCACTAAAACTTCCCAATAAAGGACTTGTATAGGAGTCACCATTATAAACAAACACATGATCATATGAACACTCAGTTTCCATCTCCAAGAAAGTTAATGTGATATATTGGTGGGTATTATTGGCTAAAAACATAAAAAAATCCAAAATTAATTAAAAACATTTAAATTTTAATAATATGTTGTAAAACAATAAAAAAGTGATGATTATTAATCTTCAGTTAATGAACTACAGAAATCATTTAAAATTAAAAAGTAATCTATTATATTAATAAATTGTGACTTAATATAAGTAATTATTATTTACATATTTTAAGAGAGTCTTTATAATAGTAAGTATTTTTATTTCAAATTTAAATGACTACCATTATTTAAATGAATTTTTTCATTACTATTTGTCATTTCTGCCATAACAATGACAACAAAAATGATATATGATTATTTATTGACTCAATCTGTGGCAAAAATTACAAAATCACTTTGTCATGAGAATGTTTCTGCAATGATGTAAGAATGAAGCAAAGAAAAAAAGAAAGCAGCTAATATAAAATAATTTTCCTATAATAGACATTTTGACTACATTAAATATGACTTAAATAATCAAAGTATCATAATATAAATGGAGCATACAACATTTTAAATATATATAAGAGAAAAATTGGAATCACAATACCAAGGAAAAAATTATAGAATCAGTCAACTTAAATAATTAATACAATACTTTGATGCTCCACATCAAGCTTTTATGGCTGCTTAGTTCTTCAAGGCATGAGTGAAAAATAATATTTGCTATCAATTATTTTCTGGCTTTTCAGAACAGCAGCAAGGTGATCTAATTTGCAACATGGAACTTTGTCCTACACCAATTTCTTTAATTTTCACTGGGTTGAAATCTGGGTTGTTTGCTGTCAGTCCATTATGTTGATGTGCTGTTCACAAAGAAAATTCTTAACATTTTGAGTCTCAATGACAAGATGCATTTTCATCTTAAAAAATGACTTCATTATAACCAAGCATTTTTCAATGAATGGAAAAGAAAATTCTTCAAAACTGTGATGAGATGTGAAAAACTTCAAAACATCTTATCATTCACAGTTGATGTAATAATGACCAACTAATCTGATCCTTTATCTGACAAGCAACTCCAACTAATAATTGAGTTTGGAAATGTACTCATTTCTTTTTAGGCAGTTATCCTTAAAGGCTTCATTAGAACAATGCCAGACAAAAATTTCAACACTCTTCATATCCTATGCAAATTCATGACTCATCACTGAATATCACTTTTGTCTAGTCATCTACAGTCTATTAACACTTTTCTTTGACCCACTATAACCTTATTTCCTTGTGTTTTGGTGTCAATCATAATTTTTTTGTTTTGTTCTTCTATAAGAAAACCTCATTTTTTTCAAACAATTTACTGTTTTGTCACAGACACTACCACATGCTTCTTTCAATCTCCTATTTATCACTTTTGTTGTACATTTTCTATATTCAAGATATACTGCTTTTACTTTCCTGTTCTGACGCTTTGATGGCTTCTGTGGTCAACCAGACAACATCACTATAACCTGATACATTATAAAACTACAAGCCAATAAATGCAGTATGTCATTGAGCTAGAAGATGGCTATAATACTAATAAATTATGAAACAATTTGGTACTAGAGGGAGGCATTAGGCGCCATCTGGGCTAATTATTTTCTTCCAGTAGTCCTAAATTATTTAAATATTTAATTAAAAATTGTAATTATTAAATTTATTAAGAGATGGTGCCTAAGGCCTCCCTCTAGTACCAAATTGTTTCATAATTTATTAGTGTTATAGCCATCTTCTAGTCCAATGACACACGACATTGGTTGGCTTATAGGTCAACCAGTATATTTTCCTTTTATAATATTCCCATTTTTTTACATTTGCACTAAATTTTACAAACAGTTGACTGAGAACCATGTAAAAATCTGTTGCGAAATGAAGTCTTTCTTAAACTGCCTTCTTTAAGAGCTTTTACAATCTGTTCCAAGTTTGTTCCAGGATTTACATGAAAAATCAGGAGTTTATACAATTCCATTGTGGCATTCGTTTTCAGGTGATACAACGATGTACATTGAGACCACTGCTAGAATGTTGCAATTCCATGTTGCGGAGCATCGAGATTAAGGGTGCACCGATTAATCGGTAAGTAATTGGTAATCGGCCGTATCGGCCACTTAGCCGATTAATCGGTATCGGCCATTCCCACCGATTAATCAGTTTCGATAATCGGTAATCGGCCGTATCGGCCACTTAGCCGATTAATCGGTATCGGCCATTCCTCCTGATTAATCGGTTTCGATAATCGGCCAATTTTACATTTTCGTATTTTTGTTAGAATGTTACGTACAATGTTAGTAATAAAAACTAATAAATTTCTGTTATATATTTATTATTTATTACACGACAAACTGTATACAGTCGACCTCCTATAACATGGTAGATACGTTCCATTCTTTATGAATCTATTTTGTAGGAGTCCTTGCCAATCACAGCCCGACACGTGTGAAGTTTACGGACTACGGCTATTTGAAAGGTTTTCTTCCATAAAATTAATTGATTCCTAGACTAATTCGACTCAACATTTCCAAAATACGTATATTTTTTTTTTGGAATAATCCGTATAAACTACGCTATAAACAAAAAATTGTAGGATTACTTACCGAGTGTCACCATTCGACATCGCCATTGCTGAACATTGTTTTCGTCGCGGAACAGCTCAGCAAAGAGCGGCCGATTTCTAACAACTTATTTTTCTGTGAAAACTTCGTAGAACTTCGG